TTACTTTGGCTTCCTATTAAGGAAGCTACATTATACACCAAGGCACTTCAAAGAATACTGTGACATTACCATGACATATGTACAAAAATATACAAAGAGTGTATAAAACAACAAGTAATATGAGTTTGAATTGTTGTACTGTGTATTTTAATATGACTGAAATGCTTTATTGGTAGGGATGTAACGATTCACTCAACTCATGGTTCGATTCGATTCACGATTTTGATTTCACGATTCGATTCGATTCACGATTATTATAATTTTTTTTAACAAAATTAGATTTAAGACAAATTATAAATTAAATGTGTCCTTTATAAAAAAAAAAAACAGCCGGCTAGAACAAGCGGAGTGATACAAAATTGTGAAAGGGCGTTCCTGTAGCGATACCAGTGCAATATCTCACGGTTCTCAACCAATCAGATTTGAGAACCAGAACGAACTGTTGTATAAATATACATATATATATATATTTAATGAATCTGGTATGAGGTGACATTAATAGTTATATAAAGTTTTACATAAACACTCTGAACTTAAGGTTGAACATGGATACATCTGCTTTTTTTGTTTTGTTTTTTGAGCGTTTGTCCGCAGGGTTGTCACAATGCCAAGGCCTGCAGGAAATGTGCAAACGCAAGGTACAACACAGCTGAGGATTCAGATGTTTGGTACGCCATCATACCAGCTCAAAACAGCTCAGCTTGAGTCATAAAAACATGTCCCGAGAGCTCGTCCCCCGTGGACATGTCTAACCTCACCAGGAATTCTGTTCCAAAGAGCACAGCGTTCCGTAAGCAGGACAGTTTCCGCTAGAAGAACACTGCCATGCTTTAACTCGACATGATCTAGTAACTCTACAACCTTGCTTTGGGACCTTCTAAGACAAGCCCAGCTTCATCCATCATTAACAACAAATAACTTGCTCTTTGATGGTTTCCTTCGGACTTCCTCATTCCCAAGGGGCCGATTTGACGACATAATCTGCAGGGCACACTCATGTCTACCAAGAGCTGGTTGCAAAGGAGGTGTTGTTTTAGGCGACAGAAACAGAGGGACTTATGGTCCAAATATGGTCCACTTTCAGGCCAAGGGTGGGGGTAACAGGAAAAATCCCCCTGAAGCACAGGATGCACATGGACAGACCATGACAGCTGGAATAAAGCAGGATATGGAGAGAGAACGAAAGGAAGAGAGAATTGAGGGATGCAGCTGAAGTTAGATTAAATCATTCCTGTTTTGCAGGGCTGTTTTTGTGTCCCGTTGTTGTAGCGCACCATCCAGGAAGCTGGAGACACAGTGCTGTCGTCAGGACTGTTGACTGGTAGATAGCGCAACACCTGCCAAATAAAACACATTAGTCACTTGAGTTAAACTACATTTGCTGAAGAAAACGTGAGTGGGGTTTGCTTTGAAACTCACTGCCATGATGGGTGTCACTGGTGTTTGCCAGCGCGTTGCATTGCAGTTGTTAGGGTGTTCTGGGTGATCGCTAATGCACTGCTAGGTGGTTTTTAGCATGTTACGATGTGGTTGCTAGGGTGTTCTGAATGGTTGCTAAGACATTCCGAGTTGGTTGATATGGTGTTCTGAATGATTTTAAGCACATTGTTATCCAGTGTCTGGTTGCTAGGACAAATCAAGGTGGTTGATAGGGTGTTCTGAATGGTTTTATATGGTTGCTAGGGGCGTTGCTAGGGTGTTCTGAATAATTGTTAGGACATTGCTTGGTGGTTGTCAGTGTTTGCACAATTCAATCTAGTTACTAGGATGTTCTGGGTGATTGCTAATGCATTGCTGGATGGTTTTCAGCACATTGCTGCATGGTTGCTAGTGTGTTGTAGATGGTTGCTAAGACACTTCGAGGTGGTTGACAGGGTGTTTTGAACGTTTTTAAGCACATTCTTATCCATTTGCTAGGATGATGTGTCTGTTTGCTCTAGACATTGCAAGGTGGTTGACAGGGTGTTCTGAATGGATTTTAATATGTTGCTATACGGTTGCTAGGCCCATTGCCAGGGTGTTCTGGATGGTTGTTAGGACATATCTAGGTAGTTGTTAGGTGCATTCTGGTTGCTAGGGTGTTGTGGGTGATGGCTAAAGTGTTGCAGGGTGGTTTTCAACACACTGCTATGTGGTTACTAGGGTGTTCTGGATGATTGCTAAGTCATTGCGAGGTGGTTGATGGGGTGTTCTGAGAGTTTTTAAACACACTGTTATTCTGTCTAGTTGCTAAGACATTGCAAGTTGGTTGATAGCAAGTTCTAAATGTTTTTTTATCATTTTGCTATATGGTTGCTAGGACCATTGCTAGGGCGTTCTGGATGGTTGTTAGGACATAGCTAGGTAGTTGTTAGGTGCAGTCTGGTTGCTAGGGTGTTCTGAATGGTTGCTAAGACATTCTGAGTTGGTTGATAAGGTGTTCTGAATGATTTTAAGCACTTTGTTATCCAGTGTCTGGTTGCTAGGACAAATCAAGGTGGTTGATAGGGTGTTCTGAATGGGTTTATATGGTTGCTAAGGCCGTTGCTAGGGTGTTCAGGATAATTGATAGGACATTGCTTGGTGATTGTTAGGGTGTGCTGATCTGTTTTTGCACACTGCAATCTGGTTGCTAGAGTGTTCTGGGTGATTGTTAAAGCATTGCTGGCGGATACCACATTGCTATGTGGTTGCTAGGGTGTTCTAGATGGTTGCTAAGACAATTCCAGGTGGTTGACAGGGTTTTTTTAATGTTTTAAGCACATTCTTATCCATTTGCTAGGATGATGTGTCTGTTTGCTTTAGACATTGCAAGGTGGTTGACAGGGTGTTCTGAATGTTGCTATAAGATTGCTAAAACTGTTGCTAAGGTGTTCTGGATGGTTGTTTGGACATTGCTAGGTAGTTGTTAGGGTGTTTTGGATGGCTGCTATACATTGGGAGGTGGCTGATTCAAGGTGTTTTGAATGTTTTCAAACACTTTGTTATCCCGTTACTAGGACATTGCAAGGTGGTTGATAAGTTGTTCTGAATAGGTTTTAACATGTTGCTATGCGGTTGCTAGGGCTACTGCAAGTTATTCTTAGGCAGCTGCTAGGTGGTTATTGGGGTGTGCTGAATTGTTTGCACAATGCAATCTGGTTACTAGGGTGTTCTAGGTGATTGCTAATACGTTGCTGAGTGGTTTACAGCACATTGCTATGCTGATGCTAGCGTGTTCTGGTCAATTTTTCAGCACATTGCTAGTCAGTTTGCTAGTGCGTTGCTAGGCGGTAGTTGGATGATTTCTAGGTATTTGATAAGGTGTTCTGAATGGCTTTTAGCATGTCGTTCTACGATTGCTAGAATGTTCTGAATGGTTGTTAAGGTATTGCTAGGTGGTTATGATGTGTTGATCTATTTTTGCAGTAATTTCCAGTTGCTAGGTTTGGCAGACAATTACTGGGGGGTATTCCAGAAAGCAGGTTATGTGACATACCCGGGTATGTTTGAGGATAAGCGAGTGGATAACCTCAGCTTTCGGTTCCAAAATCGGAGGTTACTTTCAGGGTATGTAAGTAACCATAGTAACTTGCTCTCTGAAGATAACCTGCTCCGGAGCAGCTTCTGTTCCAGGGTTAGTTCACTTCAGCACACGTGTGATCTAATGACGAGCTGTAATATAGCCTATTATATATATATATATATATATATATATATAAATAAATATATTTGTATGATATGTTAATGTTGAAGCGCTAATATAAGTAATAAATAAGGTAATATATTATTCTAATATCCGATCCATCGTGCAATGTGAACACAGCAGCGACTGAATGCTACCCCAGATAGTCACGCAGTGTGAAAACAACGGCGATCCAACGAGTTTGAAAATCGTGCAGTGTGAACTCGGCATTAGTGACTCGTCGATTCGTCGTGCTGTTGAGAATGTCTCGAGTCTTAACCAGGAACATACTCGGAGTTGAATGAACTTACACCTGGACGCGTTTTTGGAACCACATACCTCGAGTAAGCAAGGTCTGGGGTTAATCAACCGAAAGTTCAGGGTTTAGCTGACGGTAAGTTAAACGTGCTTTTGGTCAGTTTTCATCACATTGCTCTGATTGTTGGGGCTTTCTGATCGGTTTTTAACATTTTTCCATGCAGTTGCTAGGGCGTTGACAGGTGTTTTTTCATGTTCAGTAAATTTCTAGGTGGTTGTTAATATGTTCTATTTTTATAATATTGTTCTGATCATTTTCACCACATCGCTTTGTATTTGCTAGCGTGGTCTGATTGGTTGTTAGTCTTTTTTAGGGCACTGTAATGGAGTTATGATCAGTTTTTTTAACACATTGCTATGGACGGTTTTTAGGAAGAATAGGGTGTTTTGACCTGCTGCTGCTTTGGCATTGCTAGGTGGTTGATAGTGTATTCTAATCCATTCTTGCTATGCAGTTTCTGAGCTGTTCTGGGTGGTTGCTTATTGACCCATTTCATGGTTCATGGTCAGTTGGATTTTTGCATGTTTTATAACCCAACACATGAACCATGACTTTTACACAAGCACATATTATATTCAGAAAATGATACTCTTTGTCATTATCGACCTTTGATACTCAAACAAGCCAGTTATTATTAGTACCTTCTAGAGAAGGTGCTTTACATTAATTTACCATCTATTCAAATGCATTTCCAAGTACTTCTGGAACTCACGCCTCACAAACATGAGATATTTGAGACAAACAGGTAAATATGTTAAATGAGAGAACAAACAAAAGAAAGAGGATTAAGGAACCCGAAATAGAAGCATGACAGATGTGTATCAACATGAGTTCACTTGAGATTTCAACACTGTTGTGCTTCATTTGCGCAGATGTTCAGGCCGACTGGGGAAAGACATGACACACTGTAGGACTTCTCATCTTCTGCCAGTTTTGATAAAAAAAATAAAAAAATAATTTATATAAGCAATATGCATAAACCTATAAAATAAAATAGTTTTAAACGAAGCGCCAGAAGTATTTCCCATAGCTTTTTGTTGGTTATATTTTGTAATATGACACAGCAGGATATTTTTGTATAAAATGTATTATATTTTATGAAAAATATTCACAATTCATGACTTTAAAACACTTCAAAGCACAAACCAAACCTAAAATTGCAACCTACAGGTGTAAAGATCAATCTGAATCGTCAAAGTTACCAGCATTAGCTTCCTCCATCAGGTCTATTTCACACAGCACTACAGGTCAACTACAGGTCAATATGAAGTTTTACGACTAAAACGTACACAAAAAAACGGTGACAACAATAAAACGGCATCAAATCACACGCGCAACACGGAAAACACAATTCAGACTGACTGAAAACACCTTCATTCTTGTATGATTTTAAATCTAGCTGCTTCCGCTGAGCGAGGGTGGTCGGGGATCAAGAGTAACAAAGCAGGAGCCGAGCGCCAGGCGTTTGGAAGGTTGTGGGACGATGAAAGTACTTGTGATTATTGCTCGTGTGTGTTGTGTTACAGAGGCACTCTGTGGCAGGGGCTGAAAGGCCCTCCGAAACCACAATCCTCAGCTTTGTTCCACAGGCCCTCGGCCTGACCGCGATAAGAAACTTGGATGATGTTACAGGAAGTTGGATGCTCCTCTGGCGATTGACTTCTCCTGCTAAAAGCTTCTCTTGTTTCACTTCCTATTCGATTGGCTGCCTGGAGGGTGAAAAGAAGGTACGGAATATCATAAACAAGCTCGGCATGTTTAGAACTGGTTTAGTCACTCTAATTAGTGGTTATTTTGTTTTGTTCCAATAAGAATAAGAACATAATTAGTCAGACACTCTAACAGATTATTACATTTCCAGATAAACCTCGAGACGGCGGCACTATGAAGAGGTCAATCATCACCATATTTCAGACAGCTATTCAGATACCAGATACATAATATGCGCCTTTTAAATTACGGCACAGACACAACAGCATAACATCAGGATCATATGGTGAAATACAACACGCATAAGAAAGATCCACAATCAAACATAACAAAGAATTTCCATTTTCCGTAGAGAAAAATGTTAGTTTTAAGATCATTAAGATTATTATTGTGGAACTATTTCACCAAAATTCTCAATGGGGGGACATGAAAATAATGCAACAATGCCTAAAATAGGCTTCTTGTTTGGTATTTTATATTTTGTCAATGTCAAATTTGACAAATAGTTTGCTAAAAATGATCAGTAATCATGCATTTCGTTCTGTACATTGAAATATGTACTAAAAATATTACTACAATTTGAACAATTAAAGAAATAAATTATTTTGTATTTAAAGTATTTTGAACTTTATTTTAATATTGTCTATTTAATGATTGTTCTCATTTTTCACCATGATATAATGTCTTAACTT